CTCACTAATCCATCCCCTTCTCTGCACACTCACTGCTCCTGCCTTGGCTTAGGAACTAGTCATTTCTCACCGTGACAACTGGGATAGTCTCAGACAGGGTTCCCCTGTGGCCAGCGTCCCCTCTCTCTGTTTACCTGGGTGCCTTGTCCTCTTTAGTTCATGCAGTTCTTTGGTTGGAAGCAACAGGGGCCTAATCTGGTAACGAAAACAGGAGAGGATGCATTGGAGGGATGTGAATTGGCCCATGGGATTGAAAGGAAGGCTGAAGAACAAGGACCAGAGTAGGCAGATGTCTAGGGTCTCACTAAGAGAACAAACTCACCTCTACTACCTACAATTGTAAATCAAATTGCCATTACAGTTGCCAGATGTGTGATAGTGTCTAGCTGCAAGGGAGCAGGGTCTGGTTGAGGGGAAGAATTTGGGAGTAAGGGAATTAGGTGATGTGTAGTGTCTGGGAGTAAGATGAAATCAAAGCTTGGAAGGCCATGCAAACAGTCATCAAAGGAAGAAATAAGGCAAGGAGAGAGAGGAAGGGAGAAAGGGAGAGAAGAGGCAAAAAAGAAGAGAGGAGAATAAATGCAGAAAGAAGGAAAGAAGGAAGGAGGGAGAAAGAGGAGATTTGAGATCTGAGGTAGTGGCAGTGGCTAGAATCTAGGAAGTCCAGACAGGAGTTAGCCAGAAGGTCTGGAGCAGAGGGTGGGAGGTGGCTCCTGGGGAAATTCTTGAGCTGTGCTAGTGGCCTCTGGAGCTTTGGGTGAAAGCTTTGTGGCCAGTGTGAGCAGAGAGTGATTCTCTACGAACACACCCCAGAGGTGCTCTGAGCATCAGGAGAGCAATGAGCCACAGGCCTGTCCTCAGTGTCTGTAAGTGGCAGGGGCCTGAGACAGGCTAGGAAATTGGAGACAACCAGGTATAGGAGGGGATGCAAACAGCTAAGGCTGGTGGGTGCCAGGTTGTTCCAGGTCCCCTGCAAGGTGGATGTCATGGTGCCCCCTCCTGATGGAGACATTCAGACTCAGAGAGATCGAGAGGCTTTATCAATATCACAGCTAGAAAGTGACCCAGCTGGAAACAGGCAGCTCTGGGGTCTGAACACAGGTCTGTCTGCTTCCAAACATTCTGTGTTTTGCCCTGGCTGGTGGCTCAGTGGTTGGGCATCATCCTGTGCCCTGAAAGGTTGATGTTTTGATTCCTGATCAAGGTACATGCCCAGATGGTGAGTTTGATCCCCATTAGGGGGCGTGCAGGGGCAGCTGATGAATGTTCGGCTCTCACATTGATGTTTCTCTCCCCATCTTTTCCTCTCTCTAATACTCAATAAAAAAAATTTTTAAAAATCAAACCAAATAAAAAAAAAAGCACATGTGTTTTGTCCATACTACATATGTGGACTGCACTTGTGTTTTGCCCTGGCCGGTGGCTCAGTGGTTGGGCATCATCTTGTGCCCTGAAAGGTTGATGTTTCGATTCCTGATCAAGGTACATGCCCAGATGGTGAGTTTGATCCCCAGTAGGGGGCGTGCAGGAGGCAGCTGATAGATGTTCGGCTCTCACATTGATGTTTCTCTCCCCATTTTTCCTCTCTCTCTAATACTCAATAAAAAATTTAAAAAATCAAACCAAATAAAAACAAAGCACATGTGTTTTGTCCATACTACATATGTGGACTCTGAATATGGATCCCAGATTTGAGGCTCTGGGGGGCTGGGAGGGGCTGAGGGCTTGGAGCTTCTTGGGTTAGGGGGCATTTGTGGTGGGCGGAGGTGCTGCTGCCTCAAGGCAACTTTTCCACCTGGGCCAGATGCACCCAGACCCCGCCTGGGACAGCTCAGCACTCAGCTGGGTGGAGAGCACAGGGCCCTTCCCCACCCCCACGCTGGCCTTTCAATGTCACCGCGCTCCCTCCCAGGCTGCCAGCACACTCCCTGCTGACTGCTCCAGGGCCTTGGGAATAGGTCCTGTGACCTGGCTGTTTTCTCAACCTGGTCACAAGGGGCTGTTTTGTTTTGTTTTGTTTTGTTTTCCATTACTGCTATCAGCCCAAACCTTGCCATGCAGCATCGGATTTTGGCCTTCAAACACCCTTGTTTGATTTAATTTACAGGCCTGCCCCATTTGTCATACCTTTCAATATACCACCTGGCAATCCTGTAACCATTCTGAAAGACAAAGGGTTCTATGGCTTGGAATTCTTTGCTGTCTCCTAATGAGTGGATTGAATACAAATGAGCCATTAGATCAAGTGAAAATGCCACGTTCAGATGGGTCTGTTTTCATCTATATATTTCCTGGATCTTGGCCCAGCCCTGCAAATAAACATTTGAAAATGATGCAGCTACTTCGTTTGCTGGAGTCAGATAGAGTACCAGCCTCTCACGAGTGACCGTTCTGCCTTCGCTGTGGGTTGCTGAATGCTCTGAGTTGCCTGTTGCTCTGATTACTGAGAGGATCGCTGGCTTCTTCCTGTTGGAAAGAGTGTGAAAAATGCCAGCTTCCTATGTGCCTTTGGATATGGACATGACACTGGACCTGGAGGCCCAGGGCATTGTCACTCCCGCGGCAGTGAAGGAACTTCCCCGTGCTCTCTGCTCCATGCAGGAGCGCAGTAGCTCTGAGGACTAGCATGAGAGCAGTGAGCCTCCTGCTCACTCACTGCGGGAGGGGAGGGCAGCCTGGAGCAGAGGCCTTTCCACTTGGGAGATACCTGTGAGCTGTGGTGGGCAGAGCTGTGACCCAGCTTTCGGACCCTCTGCCACGCTGGCGGGGTGGGGGACTTTCGGGGAGCAAAAGGACACAGCACCCTCAGCAGGTGGGGGGCCGAGGGCCGACCCCTGATCCAGGAGGACTGTTTGCTCCGCTGGCCAAACTGTGACAGCGTCTCCTCAGATGCAGGAGCTGTTGGTGTTTCATGCTCCTCCACGTTTACCTGGGCCCACCCAGTGTGCGGTGTAGTCCTGCCCAGCGCATTCTCTCGCTCTCGTTTCACAATCCCGTACTTGAAGGGAGTGACAAGAACTGGTGATGAATCCTGGGAGTTTGTCAGGCACCACCCTGACGGGGAGGAGAGGCCACCTTTCACACAGGTGTGGTCTTAGGTTTCATTTCCAGGCCAGGGCTCTGGCCCAGCACCCACTGATGTCATCTCCCCTCCTGGCCCCTCGGCAGGGACCTCGATGTTTGGTCCTCCACATTCCAGGGGCCTGCAACCCTCGGCTAGAGCTCCTGGTTTCCACCCCCTTTCACACCCCAGATCTCCCCCCTCTCCTCTTCCCGCAACCGAATTGCCTTTGCAAACACTGGCCTCTGGGGCTGTGCTCTCTCCAGGCACATGGAGGAACCAAAGGGTGTTATTCTACAGCACTGGTCCCCCCGCCCCCAACCCACCACCTCGCTGTGAACATGCCGCTATGAACAGGATGGCTTTGTTTGCATGCAACAGTCAGGAAGCACAGGAGAAGCCCACCGTCCCCTCAGTGCCATTCTCTTCATTAATCAGCAGGTATGGTCACCTTGGATGCTCGAGAGCAGAGTTCATGAGACAGAGCCACTCTCCAGCAAGGCAGGGCTGATCTAGTTAGCGGCAATATACGGGTGTGTATTCACCTGTGTGTAAGGTTAACATGCGCTTATGTCTGTGTGGGCCCCTGTCGCCCACAAACGTGACTGTGGTGCAGGCTTGGATGTCCGTGTCATCCTCGTCTCCCTTAGGCAGGTGACCCACTGCTTTCCCGTCAGTGAAACGGCCCCCAGCTGCTTGCATCTGCTCTCACTGGACACGGGATCCTTAGAGTTACTCTGCGTAGGAAGTGGCCTCTCTGTTCAGTATTGAACTCTGAGAGGGACACGGTCTCCACTGTGCTTACTGACTAGGTGACCATGTTGGAGATGATACAGTGTATAGAAATGCCACGGACTGTTTATACTGCTATTACTGTGCCTACATGTATGTACATAGGAGCCCTCGCTTTTACCCTAAAGCTCACTGATCACCAGGCGTTGCCTGGGCTGCTTGGTTAAGGTCAAGTCTCAGGGATGTGATGAATCAATAGAAACGCAGTTCCAACTCCAGAAGCATTTCTGATTAGCACCGACTTTAGGTCTTGGCGGGCCAGCGTGCGGGGAACACATCGCACAGTGGAGGCCCCACAGGATTGCTTCACTGCCGACGGCCTCCGTGGCCTTCTCCTCACCCCTCTCACAGGCCGCAGTCCCTCTTCTGGTCTTTCCCCCAAAGCGCTGCCCAGGCCCCTTTCAGGACCACTCCTGCCCCTCGGAGCTGCCCGTGGTCCCTAGCTGTCCACCACAGGCCACTCAGGAGCCTGCTTCCCCTCGCATTTCCAAGGTGAGCAGGGGCAGGTTATGAGCACTGTATGCCCTATTTTTATCTCTGTGATGTATGCTAGGAAACCATTCAAGTTGGACCTGAAGCTTTCTTAGGACTGCACACCCTGTCGTATTGCACAGCGTGGGAGTTGCCCCTTCATAACCACCCCAAAAGGCCCACCCCCACCCCCGGCGGGATATATAGGAACAGAAATTTCAGCCTCATTTACTGAGGAGGAAACGAAGGTTCAGAGGGGCGATCTGACTTGGCCAGTCACAGAGCCCTCAAAGGGCTTGGTCCGAAACCCAGGCCTTCTGGCTCCACGGGGAAGACTGTGCCCACTAGCCGTCCGGAAGCAGGGACCGAGCCTCCGCGTTGACCTTTGGGTGGGACAGCGGGAAGCGCAGCTCACAGGGAATAAACGGAGTTTTGTTTTGCTGCACAAGCTGGTGGTGTTTCCAGCAGGAACACGCACTAAGGGATAATGAAGGTGGGCTGAGAGTGTGGGGAGGGGGCGGAACTGCCTTTGGGACTCAGACTGGGTGACCCCATCTCACCTGTGCTCCCTGAGGCCACCCAAAGGACACTGCTGTCCAGCCACCCAGGTGGGGCCTCACTAGGACTTTTGGTCCCTCAGCCCCCAAAGCTGCTTTTCTTGATGGAATGCAGACCATTTCCTGCCCGGGTCCTGCACGGCTTGGCAGGGTTACAGGTGACATTCAGTTCCAGATTAATCCCTGTTTGAACAGCCCTGCTGAAGGCGCAGAGCCTACTACTTATTTATTTATTTGTTTGTTTGTTTGTTTGTTTATTTATTTATTTATTTATCTGAAACCCTGGAACAGCTTTAAGGACATGGTTTTGGATTTCTGCACATAAGATACACGAGCAAGGTTCATTTCATTGTTATAATGCATATCCTTAATAATTAAGATAAAACGGCATCTTAAATTTAAGGTTTACTTAGCCTTTTAGGCTTTATCCCAGGAATCTGAACTGGAATTTAGGGCTTCAGTGTGAGAGGGAGGACGTGACTCACCTGCTCTCTGAGTCCTCGCTATGAAATTCCCGCTGAGGGTCCTCAGCTTGGACTCCCCGCTCCCAGGAGCTCCCCACCTCACAGAGCAGCCCGTTCCCTCCGGCAGCACAATCTGAATGTCTGTCCTGAGTGGAAGCAAGACGCACAAAACCTGTGAAAGAGTTACAGGTCGGGAGGGACTCCAGCCTGCTCTCTCATTCTGTGGGTATGAAAGCAGCTCCGGCTTTGATCAGTTCTACAAACTGTGCGATCCATGACCTTGCCCAGCCCAGGCGTCCCAACTCCGAGTGCCCTCCCACTGTGCCTGAGCCTCTAGCGATTTGAAATATTAATTAAATCAATTTAAATGGATTACATTATTAATTGATACATTTATTAAAGGTAATTACAACTTGTTAATGTAATATTATGGGGGGCCAGGGGCTGAGTGGGCATTTTTCAAGGAGTTAAAAGAAAGTCCTTCTTATTAAAAACTTAAATGTTGGAAAAAATTTCAAATGATTATACAGAGAATGCAGATCAGAAATGAATTCCGTGATGATTGTTCATGATGATTCAGTGTCGTCACTTGGAGCCAAGTAGCCATCCCAGTAAGCAGCAGGGGTTTTCCCACTGCGGTCCCTGGACCAGCCCTGTCAGCATCACCAGCAATTGTTCCAAAGGCAGCCCTGCTCTGCTGACTCCGCAGCTCAGGGATGGGCCCCTGCACCTGTGTTTCTCCGGGGTCCTCCCATCCATGCTTCAATGTGAGACATACTGCTGTACAGAATATTGTCTTCTGGGCCCATGTGACATGTAAGGATAATTTTCTCTGCTGGCCTGGCTAGCCATGGTGCCCTGTTTATGGGTCAGTCTAGATGTTGCTGTGAAGGCAGTTTATTTTAGATGTAAATAAGTAGACTTTGGGTAAACCAGATTACCCTTCATGTGCATAGCCCTCATCCAGTCAGCTCAAGGGCTTAAGAGAAGAGACTGATTTCCCCTGGGGAGAAAGGAAGTCTGCCTCCAGACTGTCCTGGAGGTCAAGACCAAGACATCAGCTCCTGCCCGGAGTGGAGTGCCAGCCTGCCAGCCTGCCCTGCACACTTCAGACTTGCCCGCTCCCACAGCTATGGGTATCAATTCCTTAATCTCTCTCTCTCTCTCTCTCTCTCTC